CAGTTTTTTTGTGAAAGTTTAATTTTTCACATATTGGCATTTTCAAGGTGTGACTTTGAAGTTCCACAGGCATGAAGACCCATGCTAGTCACATTTTCTGAAAATCCATGATACCTTTATTTTATTATTAAAAATTGATTGTCATTTTGCTGTTAACCATTATGTAATATTGCATCAGAATAGAAGAACACACAATTTTGGGTGCTGCTGCCATGAAAACCATTATGGGAAAACCATGTTACTTATGATTGCCAAACTTTCAAAAAAGAAATACAGGACTAAAATGCAGCCTGAGTTGGAAAAGCAGTCTAATTGACTTCTTTTTCTGGAAGTTATACATTTTCAGAGTGTGAACTTGAACTCCTATGGGGCTGAAACCTTATGCTTGTTACACATTTTACTTACATTGGAATTACCTGTTGAGCATAATTAAAATTTGATGTTGAATTTGCAGTTTAACATAATGTACTTTTGCATCAGCATTGACTGTACCCTATTTTGTTTTTTTTCCTTCTTTTTGTCTGTACATTTGACAGCTTTGCTGCCTTGTTTATTTATTTTTTAAATTTGATTTATTATTTCGTAATAAAATATATATAGTATAATAAGATGTTTGAAGCGTGTACTTGTGTCTGTATGTCTACTTGTATTCCTGTATTTGTAATGATACACACACAAAAAAAGCACTTTAGTCTTTTTTTCATGTGAATTAACTACCTGTAGACTAAAGCATGCACAGGATCAAAAGAATATATGACAGTGCAATTTTGCTGTGTAAAATTGGTCAAATCCTATTGATCTTTTTTCAAAAAGTCTTCACAGTCATATAAATGCTGCAACTTAAATAGTCTGTTTATGTTGCAGTGGAAACAGTTATCGAGCAAAACTCTGGTACCATATAAAGTTTTACTTTCTTTTGGTATTACAAAACAGGAATCACACAAAGTTCTTTTGAGTCTCCCATCTTGTCTAACAGATTTTATCTCTTGTTTCAGGGCAATGGGTTTGCCTTCAGATACATTCACCTGCCCCATCTTATTCCTGCCAAGTCTCAGGCACAGGACATTGCCAATGCCAGTCTGCAGAGTAAGTATACAGTCTCTTAGCCAGAGGTCTGCACAGTAAATAGTCACAACCTCCTCGTCAGCTTTTTCAATTCTTTCTTTGTGTTTCTGATTCATTGTTACAGCATCATTTCAAACTTTTTCCTCTTCTGTGGTCCATGTATGCTGTAAGTATCTTGGTGTTATCGCCACGGCTCTTTTTTTCTTATCATGCATGATTCTTTTGATCTAAAATGTGTCATTCCAGAGCCACATCCCTCCCTAAAACTCCAGGACTTATTGGGTAAAGAATTGCTGTCTAATGAGGAGGCTGGCTGCAGGTTTATAGACAGTGTTCTTAACCAGCTGAACTGGGCTTTTTCTGAGTTCATTGGAATGCTACAGGAGGTAGATATAGGACAAAGATCAACTCATGAAAAATAGTCCAGTTACGATGATAATTCATAATATATCACCATTACCTGTCCTTTGTTACAATTTCATGTTGGCAACATATTTAAAATTTATATCAAAATGATATGCAATAGGGTCCATTTTCTTTGTGAATTTATCTTTCAGTACTCCAGCAACAAATTTTACAAAGGTTTGTTTCATTTTAAATGGCCCAGCCACATATTCATGAATTAGAAGACAATCCTATTGCGTTGTATGCAGCTCTGAAATGTATAAGGAGCCTGCAGAAATTTCAGATGTAACCCTCTCCTTTCTCCCCTTTTCAGCTTCAGACCATAGCGGCCAGACCAGAGCGTAACATTGTGGACCCCAGGCAGTTGAAGATCTGTGCCACTTGTTTTGACATCAGTGTGGGTCTGCTGAGAGTTCTGGAAATGGTGGTTGCCAAAGTGCCTCAGCTTTTCTTAGACAAGTCCAAAGTGGCTTCTGAAAGTCTTTTGACACGCCTGCTACAGGTAATGTGAAATGTCATAAGCCTATCTCCTACAGTTAATTAAGAACACTCTTTTAGTACTTAAGGTATACATTTTACAAGTTGAAAGATCCCCCAAATTTGGTGATAGCTAAGCATGGATTTTCTTTTTATTATTTGGACATTATTAAGTTTGAGAGCCAGTGGCATGGCTACTGAAGCAAATACAGAACTCTGGTAGCTTGACTTACTGTATTATGTTACACTGGAGAAAGAATTTCAAAATTTTTATTACTATAAGCACTGTGTTCTCTCACATTGAAATGCATATCTGCATTGGAAATTTATGTTGTGTAGCTTAGCTATTGATATTTTATTTATATATTTAATATTGATTTATGAATTTCTTTCCTGTTCAGCTTCTGTGTCAAGTAATGAATAGAGTGACTGCAAAAGGGAACCTGTTTGAGAATATTGTCTCTGCAGGGATGCCAGGTAATTAGAATTTTAAACAAAATTATCATTCTGCTTTTTTCCTTCTTACCCATTCCATATTTATACCAATCATAAAAAAGACAAAACTTTAGTGACATAAAAAATCATTGTTAACAAATAAGGTTTAAAAGTTGATTTAAAAAAAGAAAAAATTTAAAGAGTGAATAGTATTGAGCATTTTATTTTTTTAAATAGATTACTGGAAATAAGTATTCTTGGGGAGTTAAGCTGTCTTCATGAATTGAAAAAATTCTATTTGGATCTTGTAGGTTTAGAGAGTGTTGATCACTTTCCTGTCCTGGCAGCTGTCTGTGGTGTCTTGGTACAACTATTGGGTGCCAGGGTCCCTCCAGATAGGTATGTGACTGCATGGGGGAAATAGTGGGTTGGTTTATGGGTGTCAGGTGGGCTGGTGTGTAGGTCTTAGTGGGTTGATGTATGGGTATGGGATGGGTTGGTAGATGAGGTCTAGTGGGTATTATGGGTGCTAGATGGGTTGGTGTGTAGACATGGTAGGCTGGTGGATGTTATTTTGTGGGCCTGTGAGTGTGAAGATGTTTGGGTATTAACAGTGAATTCTTTTATGTTATAATTGTCATAATGTGTTATAGTTACTTTTATAACTTGTTAACAGTGCATGCCAATCCAACTTTTAGTTGCAAGAATAAATATTATTATTAATAGTGCATTTGTAGTGGTACTTGTAAAACTGAACGGTCTGTAAGTGTGTATGGAGAGAAACAGAGAGAAAGAGAGGCAAAGAAGAATCAACCAAAGAAAGACGGAAAGCAATGGATCATACTTGACCTAATGAGCTCAATTAATGAGTTTATGAAATTGTTTCATTTACTTTTTGTAAATCCAATCAATACTTGATTATCATTGTTTGACAGGCGAGAAGCCGCCACCAGTGCCTTACTTAACGAGCCTGGCTTCCAGATGTCCTCTGTGGAGTTTCTGCTGGGAGGCACCCCAGGTCAGGCCACAGTGTCTGCCAGTGACAAGAGGAACTTCTCTCTCAGGAAATGTAAGCTGTTCTGATGAAGATGAGATGTTTATTGTTCATATATGAAAAAACAGGCCAGTGTATGAACTTTTGACTTCCCAGTGTAGTAACATCTTATCCTTTCTTTTAATCTTTCTAATTCTTTCTTTTTTCATTTTGGTCATCATATCTGTATGTAGTGCTTAGTTTTCTAGATTCCTGTCTGCACATTGAAGTACTTGTCACATAAGGACCTGTCCATCAGATACACACCTCTGTTATTTTAATAATTAGGCATTTAAAATGGTCTGATATTAAAGTTGTTCCAAGGGAGATTAAAGAAGAGTAAGAATGATAAAAGCATACAGTTGTCTACTTCTTCTCAATCAGTACCTAAGGTCATAGTTTAAGGCTTTATTGTTTTCATCTAAACAGCTGCTATGACATTTATGTTTAGTAAATATTTACTTTGACCACAAGAAGATTATTACTCATTTGTGTATTACTTTTGGCACTGATAGCATCTGCAGTTAGAATGATTAATGATATGCAGAACCAGCTGTTTAATTTAATTTTCACCTTCACCTTTGTAATGTATTTATCAGTGCTGTGTGTCTATTTGTTGGTGGATGGAATTTTCAAGATTAACAGATATATTAAGTAAGCTGAATTCGGGGAGGAAAAAAGCAATTACAATTTCAACTATGTCTGGGTCTCTATTTTAAAAACTGATTAATTGCATTGCTTATTTGCCAAAGGTCTCTGAGAAAGCTCTCTGTTGTTTTTTTTAATGTTTTCTTTGTTTGTTTGTTTTTGTGTGGTATAACCAACTCTTAACTTAAAACTGATGACATTCAAAAACAACAAAGTTAATATTCAATTTTCCAGATCAAGAAGTCAGTTCAGAGGAGATAAAGGAGGTGGAAGAGATGATATCGCATTTAAAGAAATGTCAAATCTCCAGGGAGAGAAAATCATCGGTAGGCTTTTAATGTTTGGCATTTTATGGATAGACTAATATTCTACCATGAAGCTTGTCCTGCAGCCGACATAATATACTGAATTTAAGTATTAATGGGACAAAAACCAATTGTCCAATAGTTTAACTTTTTTACAGAAAAGTTGAATCATTATGTTTATATGTGCATATATTTGTGTTTGCTTTCTGCTGTTTTCTAGTTCTCTGAAGGAGAGGAGTGTACCATCTGTTATGCCCACTCTGCCAACTGTGTGTTCCAACCATGTAAACATGTATCATGCAGGTATGTAGATTTACTCTAAAACTGAATGAGAGAAGACTTGATGATAAAATATATTTTTTTCAACCAGTATGAGATTTCCTTTGAAAAAAATGCAACAATTAAATTTTTTAATTCCATTTTTATTTTATTTTATTATTTTAAAGAATTATTATCTGTTTTATTTTCATTTTTATTTTTTCTACTTAAATTAAATACTAATTCATATTATATTAATGTCAATTCAGATTATCTATGTTTATATCTCTATGTCTATGTTTTTTTAAATTATCAATTTGTTTTTGTAAATGAGAAGATATTTATTTGGTTTTATTCCACTGTTGCTGTCCACAGGAGTTGTATATCCCAACACCTAATGAGCCATAAAGAATGCTTTTTCTGCAAGTCCACCATTACCAAAGTGCTGGACAACAATGGTAAAGTTGTGCCCATCAAGTCAGGGAAGTCATAACAACAGGAAGAAGTTGCCTGGCAACCAGGGGAAGTGGCAACTAAAACCAGTTACCAAGCAACCAAAAGGGGTGGCCAAGCAACCAAATCAGTTTAATTGTTTGGGAAGTTACTGAGCCATAAAACATTTTTAGTAGTACAAAGTTCAAGTTATTTTACAACAGGAATAGATCACCTAATCAGTTAATATGTTGTTTAGCAACAAAAAATTGTCCCAATCTAAAAGATGCCTCAGCATTCACTTAACTTACAAATATTGTCAATTTAACCCCATTTATGCATATTCAGGCAGTATTAAAAGGAATGAAAGAACAGTGCAACTTGGAAAATGAATTGATCATTAAGGTTGATTAATATTCAGTTTGCCAATATGAAAGTTGTATAGAAAGGCATTAGGCTTAAAACCAGTTCTTGAATATCTTGAATATCTTGATATATATGTAAGCATTCTCACTATAGGTTTGTGACCTATTTGAAGTCAGCAGTCTAAATACAAGCTTCTAGTTTTGCAAGGTAATTTATTCCACTCTTGCATCACAAATGTATCCAATTTACATATCAGACAAATATATTGTATCAATTCACATTGCTATGCAATGTCCTTTATATTCAAGGAAAGTTACAACAGTCACCATATCGGTAGTAGGTGTTTAAAACTTTTTGCATAAATGTGGTAGAAAAACAGGGGAAATGATTAATTTTGGTGTATTTTGATTAATAAGCACTGAATGAATTGCATTCGTGCATGGTTGATGGATTTATTGAAATGATTGCTTTTAGCTTTATTCTCAAGAGCTGAAAAATGAATACTTTAAAAGATAATTGATGATGTTAAGTGTAACAACCCCAAACTATTATATGCAGTTTGTGACAATATTCGTTGTCACATGTTGTTCCTCATTAAAACATTAATTGCTATTTTTTTCTGATCAAATACATTTTAACTTACAAAGTTAACTTGCCTCGAGTTTTTTCTTAAGTTTTTCTTAATGTGGAAAATTCTGTGATTCATCTTGACTTTACCAGTCTTATAATAATAATAATAATAATAATAATAATAGTAATGGTGAAAGTAATACATCATTTTTCAATGTTCAGCAGACTTTATGAAATAATAAATTAAGAAATGTACACACACATAATTTTTAAGAGCAAAATAAGTATCTACATATTAAGATATGTTATTTTAATAAGATATAGTAAAGAAGTAAAGGTTAGTTAAATTTAGTTCTTTTAGCTATAAACTTTTTTTAATTGTTGAAAAGGTGATGACTGTTGCAGATTTCAATGGCCAAATTAGGCTACAAAAGAGACCTTTCCACCCTTACATACATACACAGTAGATCTATAAAGTGAAATGCCCCTTATGTTCTAGGAGAGGTCATTTAGGAATTTACTTCCTATGTGAATTGCCATTACAGATATTTAACTTTCAAATTACCAAGAAATGTGGCTGTATTGTGGAATTCCAAGAAAATTGAGGGGGAAAAGATAATATTATTGGAAAAAGATCTCTTAACGTCTCAATGGAAGGAATAAATTTTGTAATTAAACAGAAAAACTGAAGAATCCCTTGAAGATTTCAGGAATAATTGCACTCAGTCAAAAGGAAAGGCTCTGCTCGTTGTTTTCGGAGTATATGTTCAGTGAAAAATGACACATAAATGAAAGGGTAGTAAAAATGTATTAATAAATAATTAAAAATCGATAAATTTTGAATTACTTTTAATTAGTTCACAATGTGGAAAATGAAGGAAGTCGAGCGAGAATAAAAATGCCGTCAAACAAATTGCTTTGGAATAAACTGAAGAAAAACGGAAATGACAAAAATTTGATATGATGAAAATAGCCAGGAAATAAGAAGTGATCCGTAAATATTGTGACCTACAATTACCTTTACCTCTGCATGAGGCACTGAACAAAGTTTCCTTTATTGCCTTGTAAAATTTTCTTTATTCACATTAATTTTCTTTTTGACTACGTTTGTTTATCACTCTCTTCTCTAACTGAACGCTACGATTTGTTGTATTTATGCAAACACTTTCTTCTTTATCGTAGTTGTGGCGTATTATGTAAACACATTTCTTTTAACTTACTTTTTGCATATTATTTAAACGCCTTTCTTTTTTCTTACGTACTTACTACGTAGCATGAAGATCTAAACACCTTATTTTTTCTGACCTTCCAATAGCTCATTCAATAATGAATAAAGGTGGCTATTTGGATTGAATAGGTAGGCCTATATTAAAGTTTCCGCTTGTCTCTTTCATAATGACTTGAGAAACAGATGATTGCCAAGAACACGAAGTATAGAAAAAAACAGATCTAGAGCATTATTGATAGATCTGGTGTCCCCTGATGACGCGTTGTAAATAGAAATTAAAGAGTGAGATTGGTATGTAAAGAGCTTCTGTAAGGTGGTAGCGTATGATGTCATGAGCAGTTCTAAGAAAGAGCTCAGCTCGCGGAATAAATTGCAGTCCTATGGAAATTGGTGAATAGAATCTAATGAACTGCATGGTGCACGTTTTATACAATCTTTTACCTATTATATAACATCAACATGTGGTTATTATCATTATTGTTTGCATTTGTATTTACTTGTGATTGCAAATATACGATCACATTTAAGGAACAGACTGTTTTTTCTTCTTTTTTTTTGTTTTATTTTTGTATTATGTGGCACAGTCGATACAATTCCAGGTAGATTAGCAGTTCGTACTCACTAATGAACCAAAGAGCCAAGGATGTTTTTGACGTTTTCGACCGTACGCTTTTTGTTTAAATAGATTGTTTAATATTAACGTTATCTCAGGTCAACGGGTTTCCTTTAACCCGATTTACAATCAACCAGAATACAGACTTCCTGAACGCTTTCTTAGCCCATATGTTCCTACGTGTTACTGTATTATTTGATTCCGTCTACTGTCTTTGAATGTTTGCTTTTGAACTGTTCATAATATCTCCTTATTGAATGCGAACTGGCTTTTAGGAAATATTGTGTGAGACTAACCTCCGCAAACGAAAGATCTCACAACTGGAAATATTTTTGTTCGTAATTTCAATGAAAAATGACAAAGAACACTTATTTTTTAGATGGAATGAGTGGCAGATTTAGGGGGTGGAGAACATTGGCATGCAAACCCGTGAAGCGTGCCTCATCTTTTTATGGTTCCGCATTTTTTAGGGGGCAGAGGAGGGTATTAACATTCAATATAGCTCAATAACCGACTGTTAATGTAGTCCAAGTGACCTGGTTTTGGAGAGAGAGAGAGAGAGAGAGAGAGAGAGAGAGAGAGAGAGAGAGAGAGATTTCTTTTTTTTTTCAATATCATGCAATGTGTTGCGAAAGCAGGCAACTACGAAAAGTAATGAGGCGATGTCACGATAGCATACGTTTTTTCAGCTTTGCTGGCACTACTGGGACCAGTTTTCCTTAACCCCGAAAATTGGTTTAAACTTTTAGCCCCCCAAATTTCTTCAACTTTGACCATACAGAAATCAGTAGTATTACAATTTTTATAATAGCGAATACATTTGTACTTACACTTAACCTTTTTAGATAAACCACTATATTGAACGAAGTTGATAAAAAAGGCCTTATTTTCCGGCCAATTTTCAGGCTTAAGCCCCTCGTGAAACGGGTCCTTGGTCGAAGTCTGATTAAAAAGGAAAAGGAAATAAACGCTCTTCGTTTGTGGGAAACGGGATATTGTTATTAAAGTGGCAGTTATTTTAGTTTCTCATTCCCTCTGAAATGCAACAGAACTAAGCTAAAAGATCGATGGCACCATGAGGACGATAACTATCATAGTGATAAGTTTTTTCCAACTTTTATGTGCTTTAATCTGCCTGTCTCTCAATGCGACACAGGGGCCGATGGAATTCCCCGAAACAACGACAGAAAAATATATGAACACAAGTCACAATTTCTGCAACACCACTTTGCAACAAAAGTTCGTCACCAACTGCCGCTCCTGCATCCTCAACGCGCTGATTGAGTGCCCCGTCGGTTCAGTGAAAATAACGGAGGAGAATAGGACAACGGACTGCAGATATAGAATTAAGTTTGGTCTATTCCGTCGCGTTTGGCGGACGGGGTGTCAACACCTGTGTCTGAGAGAAACCATAATTCCACGGTGTTGTCCGGGGCACTATGGATCCCTGTGTCAAGGTAAGAAGCAGAGTTAGTATTGACCCGATGAATGAATGAAACGTGCCAATTTTGAATGTACATTTGAGACTGGCTTACCGTACTGTAATTATTTGTGGTTTTCTTAACCCCCCTCCCCTCCCCAAACAGCATGAACAGGAGTTAATTCTTCTTTGTGTTAAATGTAATTTCTCATGTCTTGCATTCAGTTTTAACATAGTAGCAACTATTCAATTTAAGCTACGTCAATGTAAACGTATCGAACGACCAAATGAAGATTTAATATACTTTTTGAAATTGCCACTTTAATCAAGATAAATAGTTAAACCAGTAGTTATATGTTGTGAAATAAGTCGAGGAGTCTTGCTTGACAAAATGACACAGTTGACATTGTTGTATATTATCCACATGTTAAAAAGAAGGTTACTTCGTCTAAATTAGCCAATAAGCTAGGTGGGCAATTATAGCATTGCCTTTTAAATTTATTTGGGCAGAGGTGACAACAAATTAGCTGGCTGCCAGTGCCTACCTAAAGTTAGTCTGAGTCAGATGCAAAATACAAGCTAATGATTGGCCACAAAATCCACAGATATATAACTTTATTATAAATTAACTATCTGGTATATAAGTAAACAATGTGGCAGTGAAAATAGATAGCAAATAGTGGTTGAAGGTAATTAACATCTGAGTAATCTTCGATTCATTTGTGCTAATTAACACAGTTGTAAAATGAATTTTATTATGCTATATATGTGCGCATTAAAATGCCTCACAACATCCTATTTGCATACCATCTTCCACATGTCTCCACTATGTGGGATCAAAGTACACATAATTGAACTGCGTCCATGGAAGAGGGTACTATTTGCATGCATTGTTGCTTTTTCTATGTACCAATTAAGAGACAAAATTGCACAATGGCTAAATAAGGCGTGAAATATGACGTGAAATAATAAAACCCTGGCCATGGGATTATTATTAACGGATATATTTTCTTGGGGTCATAAATGCAACTATTCCATTCAAAGCAGATAATATTTGTATAATCGTACTGATGGACAAATACAAATGTTACGAACATTCCAGACAATCATCAATGGATAAAGAAATATCAAGAGACTTCTCACTCAAATCATCTGAATACTGTTTTGCAATCTGTTTAATTATTAATATGTCCAAAAACACTACCTCCGTATTTTGCACTTCAAAATTGCTGATCTGTCCTACAAGTTGGGATGTTCACTGACTTTATAACGACAGTGATTTTTATCACACCGACCTATTACAACGTGCTCTTCTACCCTGCAACAGGCTTGTTTCATACATAGCAGAAGCGAAGACATGCAACAGCGCGAATAGCTGTTTGTGGGATTATCCTAATTCTAGTTTGACAAACTAAGTTCCTTACTCAACATATTAATTGGCATTTACTGCAAGGCCAAAGGGCTTGGTGCGGGATGCGGATGCACGCGTCTTCCTTGCCAACAGGAACACCAATGGTTCAATGCTTCTTCTGAACTTTGCTGACTGGGCGAAGAACCATCGTTGCCCGTTGCGGTCCATACCATTGGTGGCGCCACAGGTCGAATGCGACAGAAAATTTGCAGAAATGTGGACCTGTAAGTTTGATGCGTCAGTAAGTAGATTGGAAAATGTACCGCACAGTTCAAACAACGTAGGAAACCAAGTGCTTGGAAAGTATCAGTATTGCCATGATAGACTTCAGCTGTGGTGAGGAGTTTGTAGGCGGTGTATGGGAGCGCCAAAAACAGAGCTGCGAATGCACTGGCAGAGATTGCGAAAG